CAGCCCTTACAGCTTAACCTCAGAGAGAAAAAGTGGTGCTGGCAGGAGGAAAGAAGAGGAGTGGGGTTCTGTGCAGATAAATCAGGAATGCACCTCGATCCTTCAACAGCTGAGAGGCAGGAGCAGATTTATAGCAAAGATAGAAAAGCTGATTTGGCCAAAGGGATAATATTTCTGTTGGGAACCAGAGAACTATTGATTACTCAAGTAACCTCAACTATTTAACAAACAGCTACCTCAGCAGAAAGAAATTTCAGCCTGGCTTTAGGGAGAGGATGGAGGGGTCTGCAGGGTGGCCAGGCAACAGTGGGAATGTGTATTCCCACTCTCCTCGACTCTCCTTGCTGCACTGCTGCCCTGCCTGCTCCCATTGGCACCAGATAAGCAGTGAAAACAAACACCAAGTAGGTGCCTGTGAGTGCCCCTAACTAAGGAAGGGGGAAATGTTCACTGCAGTGGAATCATGGCCAAGATGGACTGTGAAATAGGCAGGATTAAAATGTCTCACAGGACCTGGCTCAGCTCCCAGGGCCTTCTCTGGACACTGGCACAAAGGCAGCTCTTCCTGATGCTCCGGGTCTCTGCAGTGGCTCACAGATCCATAGCACTTTTCCCAGGAGGGAGCACGACTTCCCAGTTAATGTATTTCTGTATTATTGTGTGCCTGGCAGTGACAGCCTGTGGTGGAGGCTGAACACACAGGTGACAGAGCATGTCTGCGGGGACAGGGTCACACCAAGGCACCGGGAGCATGTCAGAGCTTCAGCTGCTGCAGCTGATGTGCAGATGCCAGGCTTTGTAATATTCACATGATCATCCCTTTTGCAGTGTAGGCAAGTATGGGGGAAAGCAAGGAGAGCCAGCTGAGCCATGGAGAAGGTCAAGGACTAGGAGGGGGTGACTTGGCCTTTCTGTTTGTGGGAGGCCCCGGTACCATTCCTGCACTGAATTTTGAATAACCTTGAAAAAAAATCAAGTTGGAACATGACTTTGAAGCAGTCCTGCTGCTGGTCATGCAGAACCACAACCAGCAGTCCTGCTGCTGGTCATGCAGAACCACAACCTGGGGGATGAAACTGCAGAACAGCAGTGTTAACTCCTCCCTGCACCCTTCCCAAAGTGGCCCTGGGAACCCAGCTCAGGCTGTGCCCAGTGAGATCCCCCTTGGGGCACAGGGGCCCATCCCAAGCTGGCTCCCTCCCAGCACAGCTGCCCTGGGCAGAGCTGAGGGCTGGCACAGAGCAGCTGACAGGCCCTCCCCTCCCTGCCCATGCCAGAGGCTTGGAATGCAGCTGGCCATGCAGCCACCTGGGTGACAGCACTGCCTGTCACCCTCCAAGCGTGGGGCTCCCACCCCTTGCTCCCAGAGAAGCCCCACAGAGCAGCACAAGCTGTTGCTGTTAGCAGTTTCCATCCCATAAGCAGCAGTATGGCCACCTGGGCCACTCCCAAGTGGTCCCAGTACACCCAGCACGTGTGCCTTGGTGGGGAGGGATTGTGCATCACACAGCAATTGCTTCCCTAATTGAAACATATTTATGCTTCTTGTTGCAATTACACTCTCAAGCTCTTCTGGCTGCATTTCTCCGTGGCCCCACTGAGTCACAGCCCCCAGCCCTTTTATTGCCTTGGGAAATGTGTTGGTTCAACAAAATGGTTGTGACAGGAGCATTGGCCTCTCCTGTTCTCAAATTTCAAGCAAGGTTTCTACTTTGTGCCTCTTTAATCTCCACTCCTGTTCTGATTTCTGACACACACAGGGGTCCCCAACACTGAGCTTTTGAACCCAAATGTGTTTTCCTCAGTCAGGGAAGAGGAAACACATTGAGAATCCTGACAGGCCAGAATCAGGTCAGCACAGGTGAGTGGGGTGCTCACAAACTCATTTTCTAGTTTGCTAAGGCTGTGTAGCCTGAGTGTAGGTGTGGAGTCCCTGCACCCTGCAGCTGTGGGATTGGAGGTGGGAAGGAGCATGGAGCCAGCCCAGCTCTTGGATTAAGAAAAAGATGAAATTCCCCCCAGGACCACGGGCCAGCACAGCACACAGATACTGCTGGGCAGAGGTGACTGTCACCCTCACTCCCTCTGCTAACAAAACAGATCCCGTTATGCAACCCTTGTGCTAAAAGGCAACACGACACCCCAGAGAGGCTTCAAGGACTTTGTTGTTTTGCTTCCAGGTCTGCAATCCCCAGGATCCACATCCAGAATGCTCCTGGCAGTACCCGTGCACCTGGCTGCCTTCCCCAGAACTATTGCACAGGCAGGGGAAGTGCTGAGGCTGCTGGGGATGTGCAGTTTAGGATTCCCACCACAAACGCGCTGCTGGGCTCGGTCCCCAGTGCGCCAGCTCTGCTCACAGCCTCCTTTAAGATACATGCAGCTCAGGGGATGGAGCCTCAAACTTCTGATTAATTTCGTCAATGATCCGTGCTGTAATCCCTAGGGAGAACTCTTCTCCAGGCAGGGACCAGGGCTGTTCTCCAGTCCCGTTATCCTGTTCTGGAAGTGCAGCTACTCCTGGCTCTTCCCAGTACAGCACCAGTGACACGCACACGCTGCTATCCTGGTGGGAAGCATCTGCACCAGTTCCTGCGCCAGCCAGCTGGGCTCTGACCTGCTCTCAGCATCCCACCGCCAAGCCCTGCTGTGCCAGGCTGTTCAGGCATTGTATAATAATATTCCCGCTGCCCAGCAGCCGTCCCCCAGCCCCACATCACCCCGAGAGATGCCGAGGCAGACGCTGATCCCACAGCAGCTGGCGGAGCTCCCCCTTGCCCCGGGCATCCCTTACCTGTCCCCGGAGCCCAGTGGCGGTGCCGCGCTCTCCCCTCCGCAGTCTCCCCGCGCTCCCTTTCCCACTCCCCTTCCCTCTGCGCCACTCCCCGCGTGATGTCAGCGCAGCCCGGCCCCCGCAGCCTCCCCAGCGCACCCTCCACGCCACGCAGCCGCCCATCGCATCCCGCTGCTGCTTCCCTGCCCAGCGTTGCCACAGCGACGGCAGGGGAATCCCATCCTCTGCTCCTCCACCTCCCAGGGCCTCGCTTGGTATCACCCACTGCAGCTCTTCCCAAAGAGACCGCGGGAAGGACAGGGCGACAGTCGGCGACAGCGATGGCCTTGTGGCTCAACAGACCTGGAAGGGAGAGAGAGCAGAGGGAGCCAGGGGAAGCGGGCTCCGAGCAAACAGGCTCTCACCTCACCCGCAGCAGTTCCACCCGTGTCCCCTGAGCCCTTCCCACCTTCCCACTCCCTCCACTGCTCGCTCCCAGGCAGTTCTTTGTTCCTCAGCCTCACGTGCTCGCTCCTTCGGGGCTGTGCACACGAGCACCGTGATGGCACAAAGTCCCCACTGACATCTCTGCAGAGGCTTCTCCTCGCCCCCACGTCAAGGTCAGAGATCAGGTTATTGATCAGAAACTTAAGCCCAGCTCCAAACCAGACCATCAGGAATCGGTGGGCTCATTACCACTAACCACAAATCCACAGTGAAAGGTTTTCCTGCAGTCCCTGTCGCCAGTGGTTTCACTGGGAAGGGAGAAGGGCAGATACATTTTTGGGACTGCAGCACATTTTTAATGGAAAGAGATGGCCCAGGGCTTTCATCCCTCCCCCCATTCAAGATGCTGTTTCTTTTCAGCAGAAATATTGCTGCATTAGAGAACAGGTCACTTCCTCTATCAGTGAGAATTCAGTGTCCTATTTGATGCTGGTCCTTGTGCTATAAATAGGAATTTTCCCCTTTTATAGTTGCTGAATAATTGTGTGTATGAAATATGAACACAGTTTTCAAAAGAGTGCCTGATAAGCAGCTTGCTGGAACGAAATGGTTGAGCAGAAGGAATTTACAGCACCTGCAGAGCATCGTGTGCTGTGGAAAACATTCAAGGTCAGCTTGAGAGAGACAGGTCACAGCACAGCTCCAGCTCCAGAGGATCCAGGCTTGAGCTCACAGACTCCCCACTGCAGCCTCCCCACAGCTCCCCAGAAATCCATTTCATGCTCCACGCTCAGGTAAGGATCAAACAGAGGCAGCCCAGCTCAGAAGGAGCCAAGGCTCCTCCATCCCACAGACCAGAAAGCCAGGAGGAGCAGGCAGAACAGGTTTTTAAAACAGCAGGCAAGGAGCAGAGGACACAATCCCAGACAAGGAGGAAGAGCACAGTTTAACATCCACCATCAAAAGGAACAAGGGAAGAAAACCACAAAGGCCAGAGAGGCACAAGGTTGGTAATGGGAGGTTCAGAGAGGTAATGAAAACACCTGAGCACAGAGACAGGATGGCAGAGGAGCAGGAGAGCCCAATTATGCTGAAAACCCAATAATTTCTGCAGGAAATGGGTACATTCAGCCCAGCACTTTCTGGTGCCTGAACACATGCAGGACTGCAAGAACCATGGATAAACAACAAAGCTCCATCAGTCCATCAGGAACAGCCTCCTCTGGGATACCACAGAGGGTCAGAGTCCCTGTGGAGGCAGGAGAGAGGGAGGCCAGGAAATGCTCTCATTCCCTGCATTAGGAGAGATTTTTCCCTGTGAATTTAGAGAGAGGGAGGGAGGCAGCAAAGTATGAAAGGCAGAAACAGAAGACAATAATGTGGCTTCCAGTTGCTGCAGGAAAGAAGGAAATAACATCAGCTCCTCCACACACTGGAGATTCAAAGGGAGGAGGGAAAAAAGGGATTACATCAGTTAAAATGCTGCAAGGAGCTCTGGACAGAGAGGATACAGAGGGGCTCAGTGCTTTCAGCCTCACACAGGAAGAAACAGGAGAGAGAACCAGCAAAAAACCACCATTGCTATGGTGATCTAAAGCATTGGACACATTCAGCAAGGAGAAGAGATAAAAGGAATTACAAGCTACATTTCCAGCTGCACAGAACATCCTTGAGATAGGATCAGGCCCCAGGATCCACCCAGCTCAATTGTTAGTCGATGCTGTCATCTGCCTCCTCATCCTCCACACTGTCTGCAGGTCAAAGAGGACACAGCACCAGATACAAATGTAAAGGGGTTATTTTATTATTGATTCAGAGGTTAGACAAGGCACCATTTGATGTAAAAAAGAAATGCAAAAAAACCTCCCCAGTTAAGTGTTATTTTTGTAAGCAATTAAGAAAAGTCTCTTGCATTTCTTCAGCATTGTGTGAATTCCAGCTTGGTCATGATCACAGAAAAGCCACCCCACTCCCAAGTAAGGCAGGTTTGGACTAGAGCCACAGCCCCTCTGTTCAGCAGCAGAGAATCCTTGAGAAGTCTTTATGCCAGGGTTCAGGAATGCAGCAGAACAAGAAAAACAAAACTCCCAGGAAAAGACCAAAGCATCTCTTTTTTCCTTTCCATTTCAGACATGATGAATCATTTGTTCCTTTTGGTCCTCGCTGATAGGAAGCAATTTTAGGAAAAAATCACAGCAAACTTTTCAGTGGCCTCAGAGTACCAAGAGGCCATGAGACAAGCCCTGAAAGTCCTGGAGAAGCCTGGAGTAACATCTAGTCCTGCCCTCCAACAGGTCAAGGACCTGCAGCTGATCACTGAGAGATGTTTCCCTCTCCACAATTGTTTTGCCTCCACAAACATGATTCCTAAGGAGAAGGCTGCTTCTTCTACACAATGATTCTGCCAAATAAAAATCCAACCAAAACCCAACCAAATCAGCCCCCCAACCCCTTGTTTGCCACCTCCTTCCCCCCCCCCCACCATCAATCATACCCCCCTCCCAGCTGCCCTCCCTGCACCCAGGGAAGGGCTGCAATGGGTGATGTAGCAGAGTGTGCAGCATTTGGTGGTGTCTCATCTGCTTGATGGAGTCACTCAGCTGGAATAAATGGGAACAGAGAGAAAAAAAAATATTTAGGGAAAAACAAACAAAATTAAGCATGGTTTATGGTAAAAAAAAAAAAGGCTGGTGAGCTGGATGTGAAGAAAGCACAAGGGAGGAAAGGAATGAAGAGTAGGGGAACATCTTGCTCTTGCTGTAGAGTAAAACCTTGACCAAATCCAGGAATGCCAACTGCCTGGGAACCCTTCCCAGAGTGTAGGGGTCTGCAGTTCTCCCTTTGGCTCTCAAAATAAAAGCTGCTTCCACACAATTTCTTTAATCACCAAGATGCCAGGGCAGCTGTAATCCACACACTTTCCCACTCCCTGGTGCACACCAGTCTTTTCCTAAATGCTATCCCAACCTCCCAGCACACCAACTCCAGGTTATCCTTCCACAGGAAACCCAGAGACAGAGCAAGGGCTGTCTAGGAATCCCAGGGCACAACAGGCTGCTGGCAAAACCAGCCCAAATTTACTGTCAGAGCCTTTCTCCTCAGTGATGTGCTTTCTAGAGCAACAAGTCCACCGCTTTTGGTTCCCAGTTTGCTGGAAGGGAAGAGGTTCTGTCCCTGGAAAGGATGCATGAGGAGAGAGAGGGGATTGTCAGGCAAAAGAGAAATAATCAAGGAAAAGAGCAAGGGACTCCTGAGGATTAAACATCTGCTCTGGCCACAGTGCACAGGATGGAATGGGCCATCCCAAGAGAGAGAGAGAGAGGAGGATACTCAGTAACACTCAATCAGTAAACACACATGGAATGCCAAAGGACAAAGTTTCATCTGGGCCAATCCATATTTACAGCAGGGTCCTCTAGGAAGGGCTGGAATCCCTCATGGCCAAAGGTCAGTGCCAGCCCTGCAGTGTCACCACAGAGCAGCACAATGCCCTGGAGAGGCTGAGGCACTGAGCACAAACAGTGTCCTCCAACACAGCCTGACAGAGCTGCTGGATTTGCTCAAGAAACAGGAACATTTCCATGAGCTCAAAATGAAGGTCGTTAGCTCAAGGGCACATGGAGCCAGTGGTTAATAACGCTGTCTCTTGAGCCTTGAGAAATCATTTGTTTTGCAATAAGGCTTTATTATATTTAGACTTTGGGATCAGGAGAAGCTCAACGTATCTTCCTCTCCTTGGTCAAAAACAAGGCAAAAGTGAAGAGTTCAAACCCAAGCCCTTTTCTTATCCTCAGGACATCCCAACCTGCCACACAGTAACTGTCAGACACTGACCACAGATTTCACATTAAAAAGAGCAAGAAGCATCTCACTAATTTGCTATAAATCCCACAAATAAATAATGGGAAACCCCCCCACCCTCTTTCTGCCCCCCCAGGTGCCATCAGAACAGGAACCTACTACCCCACAGGGAATAAAACACATACAAGGAGAACACATCATCACCCAGCCCTAAGCCAGGCTGTCCCTCAGGCTGCTCCCACACCAACACACACAGAGCAACCCCAGGTTTCCATCCTGCAGCTTCACATCTCCTGGGAAATCCTTCCCCCACATCCCCAGCCTTCTCCAAGGCCCCTGTGGGGTAGCTGGGAGGAGTTGGAAGTACAGTTCCTTCCAGGGAGGTGCATTTCTAGGATAAAACAAAGGCTTTTTGACCCAAAGGAGTGCAGAGCCCATTTCGGGCAGCTGGAGCCTGGGCTCGCTGCGGCCTCTAGAGGCCAAGATCCCAACATCTACACACAGACCGACTTCACGTACAGCCACAGCTCGTTTTAATTAAATTAGAGAACTAGCACAGCCCTACCTTGGGCTGCATCGCCTCATCCTTTCCCCTTCTACTCTGCTCAGCTCTTCACCCTCCTTGGCCCCAGAGAGACAGAGAAAGAGGAAGAGACAGGGAAAAAAAAAAAAAAAAAAAAAGGAGAACCCCATCCTGGGATAGGGCCTTAAATGAACATAACCAGGTCTTTACATGTTGCTTTTGTGAAGGCTGCCAGGATGCTGGCAAACACCACGTCGGGAGACTGGGAGGCATCCACGGCCGTATGGATCCCTCTCTTGCTGTAGTAGGACACCAGGGGGGAGGTCTGGGTGTGATAGGCCTTCAGGCGGGTTTTCAGGGCCGTTTCGTTATCGTCCGAGCGGCGGATCAGGGGCTCTCCAGTGACCTGGGAGAAGCAAGGGGACAGTCTCCAGCGAGCTGCAGCCTGGGATGCTCCCCCCTTCTCTCCCTGCTCCCCTCCTCCAAGGTGGTGCTGCAGAGGAGACCCCAGGTGTGCGGAGGAGCCAGAACAAGTCTCAGAGCAGTCACTGAAGAGAGAAGGGCTCAGCACCGTGGTCTTTTTCCCTCACACACCACTCTGCTTGCTAAAAGGAGCCTCGAGACCAGGCAGCAGCTACAGCTGCTCCCCAGGATGGAAACCAGTCACAACCCACCGCAACTTGAGCTGTGGACAGAGTCCAACAAGTTCAGAGGCTGGCAGAGCCTGGGCCAGCTCTGCAGACTGGCCATGCCCTTCATCCAATCCATCCATCCATCCCTCCAGGCCTCGCTCCCCGCCGTGCCGTCGGCTCAGGCTGCCCAAGCAGCTCCCCACGCTCCCCAGAAAGCCAGGACAAGAAGGTACAAGAGAAGGAAAGAAATGAGTTTTTCCAGGGAGAGACTGCAAAGTATCAGCTAAACCCAAAGCAAGGTAAGCTGTGGCCTTGGGAGCTCACATACATCGTCCTTCATGTGCTCTTTCGGGGGTCTGAACTCCTCGTGATACGAGCGGCCACTCGCTGGGTGAATCAGCCTGAGACAGAAAAGAAGTGTCAGCAAAGCAGCTGGTCAGGACAAGATCTCCTGAACCTGCCACTCATCAGCACGGAAACATCTGCCACAACAACACCATTAGCCTTTCACTTGTAAGAAAATTCTCTCCAGTTATTTCTGTAACAAGGGCCTCTTCAGTTTGGAAAAGCAGCTGCACTGGGAGATTGAGAAGGGGTTTTACATCCTGCTCTGCTGGGAATGGGGTCTGGAAAACAGTGCAAGAGAACACACTCCTGACCCTGGAGGAAGGTTACTAGTGTCCAAATGTATTCAGTGTCCTGTGTAAGGGAGTAACAATAGCTTTGGAGAAGGAGGAACTTACAGAGTGAGCTGAGATTTTCTATAGAAATCCCTGATTTACAGGGCAAGGAAGGTGCTCTGGCCCAGGCATAGGAGAACGAGCAAAGGATCAGGGCAGAAATAGAGACCAGCACCACAGCCAGCCTTAAGCACCATGAGTACAACCTGGGATCTGAAATTAGGATGCTCTTCCATAGACTAGGAAATCCCAACCCGTGCACTGAGCACTGGCAGAGGAGGATTACCGGCCCGTGATCCTCCGGATCAGCAAGGAGTCAGGGATGCTGAACTCAATGACGGAGTCGAGCTTCTCTCTCCTTTTCTCCAGGAGCTCATCCAGCTGCAACAGCAAACACCCACCTCAGAGGGGCTGAGGGAGCAGAGACCCCTGGGTTTGAGGGAAGGAGGTGCTGGAGCAGCCCCCGAGCAGGGGCTCCCATACCATCTCTGCCTGTTTCACTGTGCGTGGGAAGCCGTCCAGGAGGAACCCATTCTTGCAGGGAGGTGAGTCCAGGTTGTTCTCAATCAGCTCCACCACCATCTCATCACTCACCTGCAGAGATGAGACAGGTATGTTGTCAGGAAGGGCACCCCGAATTTACACACAGCTGCTGCCCGTGTGGACAGGGTGGGATTTTTGGAGTTGTCCTGTGCAGGGCCAAGGGTTGGGCTCAATAATTCTTGCGTGTCCCTTCCAATTCTTGTGTGTCAGGATATTCTGTGATTCCGTGATTCATGTCAATGCCCAGGCTGCCAGTTCAGACCTGCCCACATCAGGGCAGCACTCCCTGCAACACTAGGACAGAGGCAATGCCACATTTCTCTCCAGGGACACTCCAGCCTTGAGCAGGGACTCGGACCAGCACTGTGACCTCACTGTTACAAAGGCTGCTGTATTGCAAGGAACACGGTCAGCTCAAACTCCTTAGATTAGTATTTTTTTAACCAATTCACAATACAAAGTATCAGCAGAACGTTGATTTCCTGTTACTTTGTACTTTCACCTACACATGCACCTCGGGAGGCAGGCCTGGGCAGGAAGGGCAGAGCAGGCAAGTTGCTCATTGACTCCTATAAACTTCATACAAAGGTAAAAGCCCAATAGTTGCTGACAAGTTCTGGCTTCACTGGATAGATTTTTCCCCATCTAACAATCTCAGCATACCACTGGGATTAGTGCCTTTTCCACACTGCAGCACTCACAGATGCTGCAGCCCCAACAATAGCTGTTTATTCGGGAGCAGCGCTGTTCTCTCCAGCACACACAGCTGGGACCCAGCAGGATTGGGGACCAGGCTGTCACAGCACACAAACAGCCCTGCAGGTAGGGGAAGTAAGCAACAAGTTGCTTCTGTGCCTTCCTGATTACACCCTTTGGAGAAAAAAAGATCCTGAGCATAAACCCCATCCTGAAATGCTGGGCTGCTCCCAGCTGAGTTATCACAGAGCTGCGGGATGTGCCTGTGGAGCAGCCTGGAGCTGCCTGCCACACACAAACACACGTGGCAGATACCACCAGCCTGCCCAGATAACGTCCCTATCTTTCATAACCAGCTGGCTATTGCAGGCTGGGTGTTGCAATGAGCTCTGAGCAGAAGTGAGATAAAGGCTGCTCTCCCCTTCTGGGGCCTACAGATCCTCCCCAGGGTGTTATGAGCCTGCGGCAGCCGCAGCGATGCTCAAGATCTGCCCCGCACTGGGGCAAGTCACTGCAATTTTGCGGTTCCTCGAGTTTCCCTGAGATATTTCAGTCGTTAGGATGAGATAATGAGACCCTCAGAAAATGAATGTCAGAGATTCTAACTCATGTTTCTTGGGGATCCAAAGTGTCTCTCACACAGCAGCTGCTCTAACTACCAGAGCAACACCTTTAGGTCTATTTTCATCCTAGAGTTACAGGTGAATCGAGCTTATGCAAGAGCTGGGATGCAGATGAACCCTCTGAAGTGATACCTGGAGTTCAGGTATCGAATGAAGAGACACAGGAGCTGCAAAGCACAGCTGTAACACCCCACAGCTCCAAGGATACACTGTCATCTCAGTGTTCAGGAGCCAGAAAATTGCCAGCCAGACTGCACACCCCAAAAGAGAAAAACAACCCAGGGCCACAGGCTGCTGGTAAGCAAACAGTAATTTTGAAGAGGAAGGATGTTTATACAGGATGCTTCTCCTGCAGGGTGATAGAAGGAAAGCCCCCACTCCATCTCTACCTTAACCCTGCAATCTACATTCTTACACTAATTAGAGAATCCTAATTAGGAGGTGGATTTTGTCTGCTCTCATTCCGGATGCTGCCAGCCCATGTCCCCTCCCAGCACATTCCCAGCGACCCACCAGCTTCCCCGAATCCATCGTCTCCTTGAGCCGCTTGCCCAGCTCGGAGCCCGAGGCCACCATGGCCCGCAGCATGTCGCCGGTAGCCAGGTGGCACACGCAGTAGGTCTCGGCCAGCTTCGGGGCCTGCGGAAGAGGACAGAGGTGAGACCGAACCTCCGAGGCTGAGAATCCCCACCCCGGCGAGGCTTTGTCCCCCTGTCGCGACAGCCAGTCGTTGACCGGCCAGCGCGTGGCAGGGCCCGGCACGGAGCCCCGGAGCTCAGCGACACCGCGTCCGGCCCGGGACAAAGGGATCCGGGACAAAGAGCCCCGGCGAGCGAGCCACGGGAGGCGGGACACCAGCGAGCCCCCGCGGAAGGGACACCCGGAGCCGCACGAACACACCGCGCACCCCGATCCCTGGGCGGGCAACGCAAGGCCGGACACCCGCGGGGGTCACACGCTGAGTGCCGGCCGGGCGGGCCGGTCCCTCCGCCGCCGCCGCCGCACCGCCCTCACCTGCGTGCCCTTGCCGGCGCCGGGCGGGCCCAGCAGCACGGCGCGGATGCCGTGGCGGATCCCCGCGGCCGGGGCCTGCCCGCGGCCGGCCCCCGCCTGCGCGCTCGGAGCCATGGCCGCCGACTGCGCGCCGCGCCGCGCGGGCGGGACACGCACAGCGGGGGCGGGGATATGCAAATTACAGCGCGCGTTTTCCGCGGGTGGGCGGGGTTATGCATGATGAGCAGGCGTGGTTATCCCGAGGGGCGCGGGGTCGTTCGGGGTCGCCGCGCTCGCACCGAGATGTCCCCGAGTCCTGCGAGCTGCTGAGGCCGCACCGCGAGCGCTGTGGCCAGTTCTGGGTCACTCGGTTCAAAAATTACATTGTGCTGCTGCAATATGTCCAGCATCCAGCACTGCGAGTGCTGCGTCCAGTTTTGGGTCACTCTGTTCAAGGAGGTGGGTCATTGGGCTGCTGCAATATGTCCAGCACCCAGCACTGCGAGTGCTGCGTCCAGTTTTGGGTCACTCTGTTCAAGGAGGACATTGTGCTGCTGCAATATGTCCAGCACCCAGCACCATGAGTGCTACATCCAGTTTTGGGTCACTTGGTTCAAGGAGGACATTGTGCTGCTGCAATATGTCCAGCACCCAGCACTGTGAGTGCTGTGTCCAGTTTTGGGTCACTCGGTTCAAAAATTACATTGTGCTGCTGCAATATGTC